TACGGAAATTAAGTTTTATTTAGCAAGGCTGCATTAAATTGATCAAAGGTTACAGTAAATACATTTATAATGCTACAAAAGATTTATATTTCAAATAAAGAATGCTAAAAAAAATGGTTTCCATAAAAATATTAAGCAGCACAACGGTTTTCAACACTGATAATAAGAAATGTTATTATTTTTAGTCATGTGACACTGAAGACTGAAGTAATGGCTGCTGAAAACTCATATTTGCATTAACAGTTCTTTTAATTTGTTAATTAATTTGTAATATTTCACAATATTACAGGTTTTAATCAAATAAATGCCTCATTGAGGAACATAAGAGACTTCAAAAACAAGATAATCTTACTGAACCCAAACGTACCAACATCTTCATTATTTTATTGAGCGGGCTCAAAGAAAAATCACAATGAGGTATCTTTAATATCTCAATTTCTAGCCACTAATGACATTGTGTATCTTCTGTAGTTCCCGTAGTTTCTGAATTTCACATAAATCACTTCAAATCTGAGCTCAGACATTCTCATCATATTCAAGCAAAACTGTTCAATGAACTTAAGGCACAGAAGTCCTTTTGTGGTTCTTATTCCTTTATATAAAACAGAAAAATAATGATTTTATTGTCCTGTTCCCGTAAAAAATTGGGTCGTTTGGTCAATTTAATTATATTCTTAAGTTTAATACTTTGAGTTAGAGGTTTATTCAGATCCCTAACCTTATTTATGAGGAATAATGTAATCACGCTTACCTTGGTAAGCACTATAACTACTGAAATGACTCCATAATGAAGAATTTCAGTGCTTTCGTGCCTTCACGTTTTAAAGCTGTAGATATGCGTTTATGAGACAAAGTGTGTCATGCTGCAGTTGTGTAGTCATGCAACGCAGGAACACATTTCATGTCCCCTCAGAATTGAGAGAGCTGGGTTAATGATGAGCCCCCCATCAGTATGCATTATTTATTTAGACGCTCTGCACCCCAGAGGCGGCCTGCCTTTTGCCTGTGTGCTTTTTTCTGTAATCCTGCCTTTTTGTGCGCAGGAGCAGCTCTTCCATTCAGCTCTCTCTCTCTGTTTATCCCCTTCAGATGTTGCACCTTCTCGGTGGCATAAATATTCTAGTATTGCTTTGTCTTTCCAAAATATCAGCCGGCTAAAGAAAACAAGGAGAGATGCCACTGATTTGCAAACAAATCATGGAACATGTTCACAGCAGATTGAACAGACAGATTGAAGTCTTTCACAAACAGGGGACGACGCTGGTCATCGCATTGGTGGAATAATTGCATGTAATTCCTGCTTCCAAGAACGAACGACATGTTCCGGTTGAAATTATGAAATAACTTTACCGAGAGCAGTCATTATGCCGTAAGGACTGCCATTCAGAGCGCTACGGCAAAATACAGTAATGGATGTTACTTTAAACAGTAGCAGCCTTGCGTTCTCTCTAAATGAAAACGGTTAAAGACATTGAGAGTGCAGTTGAGTTCAGCTCAGAGAGATCCATCATAGTCAACTGATAAAAGTCTGGGTTTTATCTCTCCAGGGTTGAAGACTCTAGATGTTAGCTTGACCTGGCTCGCAAAAAAATCCCTCCTTCCACCCATAATAAGAGCTGACTTAAGCCAAGAACATGTCAATTAGCGTATGAATATGTATGGAGTGTTACCTGTCATTTTGTAATTACCTCAAGACTGAAGTAGCTGTCTGATCTGCTTCAGATCCTGCCTGGTGGTTAAACGACTTTGATCTAATCAGTCTTAATTAATGGAGTTGCAAACAAGACAACTTTAGCGCAGGTTCGTTAGCATGTATCATTTAAAGGTCCCCTGAAATGCTTAGAAACACGCAGTGTTACTCTATGTGTTGACGTCATTTTAACTGAAACAGCAAGACAGGGCGGGACATATCAAGCAGCCCCGCCCCCTTTTAAAATAGCCAATAGCGTTCGTTTATATCACAGCTTGGGCTAGAGCCAGTGTTGCCAGACACATGATAATTATCGTATTTGTACGATCATTTTGACCTCTGTAGGATGTACGATCAATAATTTAAAAAATCCCATAATGTATGATAATTTCAGAATTTTGTGACTCTTCAAATGATGGTAGTTGTAATCATAGGGTTTCTATACTCATCCACGAAATCGGCTCATTACAGATACTATAAATGCGCTCGTGCACACCTCAAGAGTGTGTTAAGAACGCAGAAGGGTACCTACTCTGCTTTTAAGCCACTAGAACCCCCTCAACATCTGGCAACACGCAGGCCTCCGATGACAGAGACTCACAGGTGGAGTTATTTATCTATTGTGGTAATTTGCAGGTTGTGTCAAAAAGTTGTTGGTCTAGATAAACAGCTGTATTCTGTACGTTTGACTCATGTACGATAATTTTGAGCTTCTGGTACGATACTTGGACATTTCCAATCTGGCAACACTGGCTAGAGCCATTCAGAGCCATTGAGCTCCGTAAAGCCGCATTTGACAGGTTATGCCAGCCACAATCTCATCCATATTGCTATAAAATATAGCATTCTGTGTAGAATTCAAATAGCTCCGATACATTTTGTGGTCTGCGGCGACTCGCGCATGTGATCCGCTCCGTGCTATCGTGTCTCTGGACGCAACCAGACTTCTTTTTTTCCTCAATGGAAAGCATATTTACACTGGTTGAATCGTTCCCTGTCCCCTATATAGTGCACTACGTGCCATTCACTGTACAGAAAATACTAATTCTGTGGACAAGTGACCGATTTCAGCCACGGCTTCAGCGTCTATTTTATAGTGTAGGGGGCGGGGCTTCGGATTCTAGAGAGCATTTGATTGGACAGAAAGTTTGATGAGACGCTGAAGTACAAGGTGACGTCAAAAAAAATCGTTGAGCCGTTTTGGCTGAAGTGACGAACTACAAGCTTTGAATGCTTATATCTTCTAAATGCGAATTTTGTCACTGTTTTGGAGCACACTGCCTTCTAGATAACCTTAAGACTAACATATTGATACTAACACCCAAAAAACGTTAATTTTTATTTCATGGGGACTTTAAGGTTATGCGCCTAGGACAAGCCATGTTCACCCCTGGTGAAGGTACAGTGATTACAAAGTGACCAGATGCCTTTCATTTTCAATAAGAGCTGGAGATTTGAGTTTAACTTTGTGCAAATTATTGTTTTGTATTTCTGTCATGTTGTTTCTGGGTAGTTCTGCTCACTGTGAAGTCCAAAATGCCACTTTACCTTCCTGAAAATGAAACATACAAACAAGTGACATTAAATACTTAGGAAAAGTTGACATACCATAATATTATTAACCGTGTCATATATTAATTATTAAGAGACTGCCTGGAATATATTACCACACCACAGGGCCTTTTAAAATGAGCTAGTGAAGGTTACAGGTTAGATCACTCATGATTTACACTCCTTTATATTAATTTTCAACCTAAAACCTTGCTGTTTATACTGGTCAAAATATGTAATAATGTAATAAGTTATTCTTTAAAAAAAAAAGTAATCTATTATGTTCACAAGGCTTAATTTATTTGATATACGATATATTAAAACAGAATTATTGTGAAATATTATTACAATTTAAAAGAACTATTCATGTGATGCAAAGTTGAATTTTCAGCAGCCACTTTCAGTGTCACGTGATCCCTCAGAAATCATTTTAATATGCTGATTTGATACTCGAGACACAATATCAATGTTGAAAAGAGTTGCAAATAATTTCAAAAACATTTTTGTGAAAACCATGTTTTTTTTTCCAAGTTTCTCTGATGAATAGAAAGTTCAAAAGAAAAACATTGTTACATAACCGTTTTTATTGTCATTTTTAAGCAATTTAATGTGTCCTTGCTCAATAAATGTATTTTTTTTAAAAATCCTACCAGACTTTTACATGGTAGTTCATCGCGTTTTCAACAAATAAATACATGAATATGTTCCGATTGGCTGTGATTTTGCTGCATCATGCAGCAATTCAGCTTTCATTGTGGACTGAAAAATAACTTGTCACTGGAAACGTGTCATGCATGCTGTGTCAGATTAGCACTCATCATACTAAAATGTGCCATTTTCCATCTATATCCCTCTGTTCTGATATACATGTCTGCAGGTGATCCCAAAACTCAATTGGGTGCAATCTAACATAACTGCATTTCCAATTACAAAGTGGTTAGTAAGAAAATGAAACAATGCACAAAATAATTAGTCATATTTGTTTCTGTTCTTGCAGCGTACATATTCAAAAAAGATCAAACTGTGAGTGCTAGTTTATCTGAGTCCAGGAGTGATTACGTAGGTTTCACTGAGACACTTGTCTTTATTTGAATGAAAACATCAAGCTCTTGAGACAAAATAGTCCTTGCAGATGATTATATTTACAAAAAACAATTGGAAAAAAAAGAAAAAAAAAACATTCAAGAAATATACAGCATCATCCACACATCTTTTAATAAAAAAAAAACACCATGCTTGTCCTTTAAACATTAAGCTGAATCCAATCTTTCAAAAACCTCGCACAGATTAAAAAAAAGGTGCAAATATATACAAAACACTTCATTGCAGCCAGCGTTTTAGACTCATTCTCACGACTCCCTCAATCTACTTAAAGCATTAAAACGGAATTAAAACAATAATTTAAACAAAACAAAAAAAAAACATTTCAGTCCAATAATTATACAAAATATATTTATATATTTATATAGAATTAAGGACTAGGCATAGCAGTTGCCCATCAACCAGTCAGTCACAAAGCTCTCCAGACACGTTAATAAACTCCATATATTTCTGAAACTGTAAACAAGTCTGTTACAATAAAATTGATTAAAACATTTGGGATAAAGAGACAAACCGACAAATAAATTAGAATTCATCTGAGACAAAATTATTTTTTTCCTTCTTTTATAACTAGAACATTGACTGAAATGTAGTTATGGATCTAAAACAGACATTTTCTTCTACTGTATCTACTGAAAAAAACACCACAGTTATTTTCCCACTCACTCCGCTCCGTTCCTCACAAGTTACAGGTGCTTTTAAGCGTATGCCGTTTCACCACACGATGAAAACAAACCGCAAAGCGCCTCATTTGGCTCCGAGTTCTTCTGTACGAAACGGGTGATTTCTGATATATGGCTATCGGCCGAGGCGTCATTAGTGTTAGCTCTGTCTTCACCAGTCTACCTAAAAACACCCCGGTGGGCAGTTGCACTTATCGATAGAGTTATCTTACAGGCAGTATGTACGCGACCAAGCTAAGTCCACTTCCCCCACAGTACGTTTGGCTTTACTCACAGTATAGAAATATCAGATGTAAACCTGACGGCGTGGTTTCAACCAAGATGTGCTAAATCTAAAAATTCCAACCACTGATGTTTAGTTTTCAGCTTTTTTTATAACTTAGATTTACGATTGCATTTCATTTCTCAAAGTGGTTTGTTCCAGATGTCGGATATTGGTTTCGCACCTGCATTGCTGACGACGCAGCTTTGGCATCAGGCAGTAATTCCTGATGTATCGTGTTGCAAGAGGTTGAAATGCCATAACGGAACCAGATTCATGAGCTGACCCCATTCCCCCAACAGAAAAACAAACCAGTGTTCAAAAAGATTCTGCTTAATTACCATCCTGCAACTTTTTCATATGTTAATGAGCCCCACATTTAGTTCAGAACATCCTGCCTTCACAATTCCAACAACAAAAATTTGGCTTTTGATGATGCCGTATCTAAACGAACAGGGAATCTTGTTATCCCATCCAAATCCATGTGGCGAATTTGAAGGCAGGTTTAATTACATTCAATGAAAGTTTAAAATATCCAGATACATCTTGTTATTGAAATGCTCCAGTTTTTAAACCATGACCCTGCAGGACGTGGTCTACCGCTAGTAAACCAAAAGTTATTCTTTTGTAGCCAAATGAAGGCAATCACGATTAGTAGTTATTAGCAAATCCATTACTACAGGGTAAAAAGGGCAAAATCTATCGATGTAAGATGTATTCAAAGGGACGTGATCACTTTGATGGTCATTGAATATCTACATTCAAACTCATCAAACTCAAGTAATAAGGCCCCGATGGATTTCCCTATTGTTTTAATGATCCCATATTACTATGGGTGTTTGTTTACTCGAACTGACCTTAGTGAAGTAGGTTTTTTACATTTTAAAGACAATGTTGAAAGCAAATGGTTCTCCCTGTAGTCCTGGCTGTGATCGTCTGAAGGTACTTTGCGTTTAAAACTGGAACATGTATAATGAGGCAAAGATTTTTGCAAGATATGCTCAGTTATTCATGCTGTACATTCTCTGTGATTTTACTCAACACAAAAACACATTCGATACGCAACTAGACAGGGCAGAACTCAGAACCACATATAGCAAGGAATAGAAAATAGCTGAGAATACTTTGAAATTCACGTACGTATCACAATTCGAGTACCTGGAATATAACGGTTTGCAGTTCACCTCCGTGGCAGCAGAGGGCGACGCCGCCGTCACGGAGATGAGGAAAGTCTGATAAAGAGAAGCGGAAATGACTTAAGGCCTTGTTGTTTGTGTATACAGACAGAACTGACACAATCTTTATAATCGATCAAGCAGGAACCTTATCGCGGTTCATTGATAAGGTTGTACGGGGGACGACAGAAGAACGGACGAGATTTGTCTGGCTGCAGACTTCTATGTCAAAAATTGCATTTTTGCGGCGAGAAAACAATCAGAGTTGAACAGTCATCCCTTCGTTGTGCTTGGCATTGTGAACGCGTTTTGGCTGCCGTTTGGACAGAACAACAACAGGGAAATGAAAAGGAGCGTGACTCGCCAACTGCTAACATTGAAAATTTAGAGTCAGGACGGTGAATTTGAACACACAGGGAACTTAAACTCATGGCTAGCAGGTAAATTTGAGAGTTATTGCTCTAGATGGATCTACTACATTAAAGATGCCTGTCATCAAGGGACAAAACTTGGCCCTCGCCAATGCAGTCTTGGAGAAGAACCACAGAATCCGAGTAAACACTCCACACCTCACAGTAACACAGCGGTGTACAAAAAAAGAAAAGGGAGCAGAAATGTCCACCCACAAGGGATGAACGCCCATCCCGGGGTACATTTCGGCACAGGTTTGGGGAGTCATATCCGGACGCAACGAAAAGGCAAGCTTCAAAAGATGCTGATCCATACCTCTTGACAAGTAGAGGTCCATTTGGCCCCATAATCACAAAAAAGGCGCTTTTACGGGTCTATGGCAATTTCGAGACGAGGAGGAGAAGGTTCTTCCCATTCTGCTCAGCCTCAACACTACCCATAATGCAGTTCTCCCCCAACAATTCTCAATTATTGATTCATTCTGATATAAATATCTTCATTTCTGTTAATGGAGCTCGTTGCACGATTGTGATTGAGGCGTCTCTCGGAGGTCGATATGAAGAATTGTTTTCGGATTACCCGCCGAATGCATTACTAAAACATGTTGCTGCTTTTCTCTCCCAGAAAGATAGATATTTTCTTCCATGGCACTATCTTGGCAATTTGGCTTCCAAGGCAAGAGCATGTGCACCTTTCCTCATTGGAATGTATCTGATCCACAGTAGTCCGTGTCGAATAGTTTGTTAGGCAGGCCGATATGAACGGCGTTGCGTTCGGTCCGGGTATTAGGGAGTGAGGGCGTACAGATTCTGGTCGAGAAAAATATTGGGCTTCGTATGCTGTGCTGTGGTTCCTTTAGAGTTGATTGTCCAGTGTTTTAGCCTCACCTAACACGGGTCGGTCCGCTGGACTCCATCAATTCAGTCTCAACCCTCCCCCCAAACCCTTCCCCTCCCGTCCAATCAGTCACCACCCTCAGCTGCTGCCAGACATCAGGCAAATGGCTTGTTCCAGTTTGTGTCGTAGCTTGTGTTTGCGACAGTAACCGTCTCTGTCCAGGGCTGTCAAAATCTGAGAGAGAGAGAGAGAGAGAGAGAGAGAGAGAGAGAGAGAGAGAGAGAGAGTGAGAGAGAGAGGCCATTAACTGAAGGCCGAACCCATGTAATAATTCAATATTCTACATCGTTCTGCGTGTGAGAGTTTGCAGACGCTCACTAGAGCTCATAATGACAATGATAAATGACCTCATCGGATACGGCACAGCACATTCGTCAAGATCAAACCACTAATACAGAAACAACATTTGCATTTCAATTCAAATCTCACATGCATCTTTAAACTACCATTATGGCAATTTGCACAACCACTACCAGGATTTATGTTTCTCATGATCTTACAAACTTTTTGATTAAAAAAAAAGTGTATTCATCTGCATGAATCATATGAATTTCTTTTTTTGCACTTATATATTTGTACATATTTGTACATATATATATATATTAAATCATATTTTAATATTCATACATGCATACATACACACACATATATATATATATATATATACATACATACACACACAAACATTACACATACATTATATATAAGTATATAATATCCAATGTATATAATATACATAATATATGCAATATTGTATAACATTATAAATATAAAATATTTATATATACATATTTAATAAGTATACTTATTATTTAACTCTTTCCCCACCAAACACAGAATTTTCCGGGTTTCCACGTTCTCGCTGTTATACGTTTGGGAGTGCTATTACGCATCTCCTGAATGAGTCTAGAATGTGCCGATCAAAAACACATGCGAGGAAGACGCAGAAACGAGTGATCTCGCATGTATGCATATGAAAAACAATGCAATCATCAAAAATAACCCGCATATAAATGAAAACTGCCTAATGTTACCTAGAGACATGTCAGTCCAGGAAGTGGTAAAGGACTGTGCAAGCTTTGGGGGTGTTGATGGAAGCAATCTACTGCATCTTTGCTTTGATCATCCTACTTAATATGATCCAGATGTAGTATTTGATAAAAACACGATTTCCTCTGCTTTTTGCTCAAAATGTTGCTTTGTTTTTCATAAAACTTACCTACATTCAAGTGTTAATAAAAAAAGAATGCTTGATGCTAGAATAAAACAGAGTGTTTTGTTTAAAAGTAGAGGCTCTGTTCTTTATTTTGATGCATTGCATCATCATCAACAATGCTGGCGGTGGCAGGCAACTTTTTTCAAAAACTCTGGTGGAAAAGAGTTAAAAATATGAAATTGGGTGTTGTTGCTTTGATATCTGACTGAATGCTAGTTTAGCAGAGATGATGCTTAACCAACCACTTTGTACTTTAAACCTAGCAAACACTTGTCTTTTGCATGCTAGTATGCCGTGTAACGTTTAGAACGGGATATGAAATAGAGTCCTAGGTCTCACCTCTTCCTTGTACTTGTTGATGTAGAAGTACAGTTCACTGAGCGCGCTCAGTGTGTTGAACTCGTTGCCATGGAGACGGGACTGCTCTACTAGATAGGCGTCCATGTCCTGATCGCTGATACTTGGCATCTTGCTGATGTCTCGGTAATATCTTGAAAACACACACACACACACACACAAATACCCTGGTTAAAAATAATCTGCTTTGCATTGCAAATGAACAGTTTGGAGTTAATCTACTGGAAAAAATGAATTTCAGTTTCTGCAGCCTAGTAAAAGACGGTAAGGAAAATGATTAATTAGTGGCGCCTACTAAGGCAAGTACAGTATTACTATTGCTTACAGGGGATCTAAAGAAATGTATTAAATGTATTTACAAGTGGAGTTAAGTGCAGTGTTAATTTAATATCATTGTGTCATTATAGTTTTTATTAATATATTAAATTAGTTTTTATTTTCTGTTTTTATTTCAGTTAAAGTTTTAGTAATTTTGAAGTGTGTTTTTGTAATTTGTATTTTATTGAAAGTTTTCATTAGTTTCTTTTAATTAAAAAATAACAAAATAAAAGTTATTTTATTCAAGTTCAACTAAATGAAAACGAGAAATGTTGCCTTGGCAACTAGCTGAAATAAAATAAGCTTTTTATATATTTTATTTCAGTTAAAGTGTATTTTATTTCAACTGTTTTTTTTATGGTTTTAGTTTTAGTTAACTATAATAACCCTGGTAGAGGTATAATTCTCCATACAGCTGCTGACCTCCATAGTATCCCCTCCCCCCCCATACTATGGAAGCCAATGGCTACCAGCAACTGTCTGGGTACCAGCATTCTTCAAAATATCTTCTTTTGTGTTCAACAAAAGAAAGAAACTCATACAGGTTTGGAACAACTTGAAGGTGAGTGAATAATGACAGAATTTTGAACCAACAGTACAACCATTCTAGATGTTTAATTACAAGGCTACACCAATCAGATCAAGTCTGTGGTATTTTGAGGCATGTGTCTGTACCTCTCCACCCAGCTCTTGTAGTTAGGGATGTCTTTAGCATAGAGAAGCTTGTTTGACGGAGAGTCTTTGCCCAGGCGATGCTCAGACGTCGAGCAGGAGTCCATGAAGGTCTGAGCCACCACTGACAGACAGGCATCTGTAATACTGTTCTTGTGGATGTCAAAGACAAACTGAGGGTTTTTGATCACGTTGACCCAAAACCGCAGAGGAAGGCTGGTTTAGAAAGAAAGACAATATAATCTGATTACATCCAAAAGGCTTCTTAGTGATAGTGGTCTGTCTTGAATCGCACTAAAATTCATTCTTTTTCAATTGCTCTGAGAGCGTACTGCATTCAAGAAACAAATGGAACTGAACTGGCAACCCAGCAGGGCTTCAAAACAATCCAAACAGATGCTGCAGAAAATTAGGTCAAAGACAGGAAGTGCTTGGTATCTCACCAGTTGCTCTTCCAGGTGTGCCGTACGTCCGGGTCGGTGATCTGTCTCTTGTCTGCTTGCTCATCCAGGAAATCAAACATGTATTTGATGGCCAGCGGGAGAGCGCTGCCGCGATGGGCCGTACTGAACACCGTCTCAAAAAGATCGTCCACAAACTTCTGCAGTGTGCCCTAAAAACATGACAAGAGTTTAAACAAGCTTCAGCTAAAATATGTGCGGACACATCAGGAGTTTTGAAGCACTACATACGTTTTATTCAATAAAATGCTAATTGTGAGGTTTTAATTGACGTGTTTTGAATATTTATTTTGGATATTATGGAAATCAAATGATTTTTAAACAGATTGTTCCAACTTTCTATAAGCAGTCTGCTTCATGTTGTGCAAATAGTTCATTGCAAAATAATAAAAATAGCATTATTTACTCATCTTCTTCTTGCAACAAAACTGTATGCTTTTATTTTTTCAGTGCACTACAAAGTCACACATTTTTGAAGAATTGTGTCCATTAGTGTTCGAACAGACCAAATTTAAGTTCATCTATTCCTCGGATGAAACCTAGCTGCATTCAATAAATTTTCAAAAATGCTACAGTAACGATCAAAAGTTTGTGGTGAGATATATATATATATATATATATATATATATTTGTATATTTTTATATACATATATATGAAGAGTTTGGTTCCAAAACGCGTTAAACGCCATTTTTACAAATATTTAGTTTCCACCAAAATCGGTATTGTATCTGGTCGGTATTGAAAAGTCAATTTTAAATTTTATTCTGTCATGTTTTCTCCCTTTTTTCCAAACAAATGCCAGTCTCCCTTTTCTGCAGAATGCGATATATCCGCTCAACCAATCACAGCGCACCATTCCACGCACTGTAAACAGTAACAATCAATCACAGCACACCGTTCCACGCACTCTAGACAGTAATGGCTGCGCTTTGAATACACCCGGCATCGCGTTCATAATCGCAGATGAGTCGCATTCGATTAAGAACGCGATATTGTGTAGCTTGTCAGTGTAAGTGTTTTTATTTATGCCATTAATGTTTTTGTAAATACAGCGTATAGCACTAGTCAACTAAATGAATGCAACATGGCAAAGATGAATGCACTTTTGGAAGTTGAATGTAAGGGAAATGTAACTTTGGAATTTCTGTGGTTTAATGTGATATTGTTGTTCATGTATGTTCATGATGAAATTTTCTTTTATTGTTGTAATTCATTTATAGCATTAACAAGATGACCCGTTGAATTCATTTTGGAGCTATGACTGATTGAATGTATTTTGAGTCCAGTGCCTGCATATAAGATTAGTATTGACCAAGTTCAGAGGCATATGTGGATCAACTTACTATGTTGTGTATTTTCAACAGTTTCAATATGAAAAATAACTTTTATATTGATTCAATGGATTGATTGCATTTTGGAAAAAGAAAAAAAAAGGTGTCATGGATTTATTACATTTTGGGGAAAAAATAATACAATTTTATAATAAATCTTTGAAAATGGATTTATAGCGTTTTGGAACCAAACCCTTCATATATATATACTTGAAAGAAGTCTTTTCTGCTCACCAAGTCTGCATTTATTTAATAAAAAAATGCATTAAAACAGTAATAATGTGAAATACTATTACAATTTAAAAATAACTATTCTATTTGAATGTATTTTAAAATGTAAATTATGTGATGCAAAGCTGATTTTTCATCAGCCATTCTTCCAGTCTTCAGTGTCACATGAGCATTCAGAAACATATTCTATTATTATCAATGTTGAAAATGTAAATAAACATATTTAAAAAGTTTAAATAAATATATTTATTCATATTATTCAAATTTATTTGAAATAGATTTTTTTCATAATGTAGCAGTCTTTACTGTCACTTTTGATCCATTTAATGTATTCTTGCTGAATAAAATAATAATAATAAAAAACTCTTCTGGATCTATACTTTTGAATGGTTGATGTTAATGATAAATTATGACAGAAGCTTCATTCTTGGCTAAAATAATCCTTTAACCATGGTAAAACACTGTAACGTACAGCCTTGAGTGGCTTATTGCTTTAAAACACACACACACACGTTATCTGTATAGGATGTTTATGTACCTTGGTAGCCAGTAAGCGTGTCAGGTAAATCTCAGACACCATCTTGCTCCCACGGTCTCCCTCCCGCTGGTCTGCGTGCTCATGGTTCTTCACCAGGTGCCAGAGTTTGGTGCCTGTCTCCTGGTCAGGGGTGATCATAGGAGCCCTGGATCGAAGGCTGTCTGGACTACTAGATGTCCTCAGCAGGCTCTCTATGTACATTTCAATATATACAATCCAATTGAGCATATACTTCAATCTGCTTCTTAACAATGCATTGCAGTTTACATATCTTAGTCGGTTTCTGAATCATTATCTTTCTAATAGCTGTGTCTCAGAGCCAAATCAACATTTATGGTCTACAAGTATAGATGTCTATATAAACATCATTATGACTGAAATGAATCCTCTTACAGTTAACGACTGATTTCAGACATCCTGAACATTAAGAGCATGTCTATGATATCCAATTTTGCGGTTTAGCTTACTAGGTTTGGAAGCACAGCCTACAGTATGTGTTATTTCATTGAAAAGCTCAGACAAAATGACTTCAGCAAAGAATGGTTGGTGAAAAGAACTTAGATTCCCATTTGAGCCAAATATGCTGCATGTGGCATGACACAAAACGCTGAAAGAATCCATGATATATTAAACAAACATGGCTAAAGCCGAGGATCGTGGGGCGTAAAGCGATCCGAGAGACTGCGGCTTACCGTATCGACTGAGAGAGCGAGTGAACGTGAAGGAGTTGGCGATGTTGTAAGCAGATACTTGCTTCTGAACCAAAGCCACCAAAGACCCATCTGTCACCTGAGATGGAAAATTAGAACTATAAAAAAACGCATCTCCATTTTTGTACAGTATGCGACAAGTAAATTTGCATAACATAATGGAGCAGCTGCCAGAAAACATTGTTCAACCTGGTAGTGCGCCAGTGTGTTCAATCTCTTCCAGTCGCTCTCGATCTTTGTGGTGACGTCTTCATCCTGGAGGATGATTCTGGTCAGTCGACCCTGCCGCCATTCTGGAGGAGGACAATAAATGCAATAGTCTTGGATGATGATGTTTCTAAAGTAAACTTTTGCCATGTTTTCCATACTTTCTCTCTAATAGATAACATGATATCAATATTGACCCTATTTACTGGTCTTACGATGCACAATTCTAAGTGCATGCTTTTCTTAAAACAAAATTGTTTTCATGATCTTTCATCAAAATGTAATAACGGTCTAAAATTACTTTTTAATTTTCACTCAAGGTCACTCAAGGTGCCGCAAAATTATATTAACCAAATAGAAAAAAAAAAGTTTGTCAAACCTAGTGCATTAGACAGACAGTACGGAAGACGATAGATAGACAGATAGACAGACAGACAGACACGAACAAACAAAAGACAGACAGAATGTTAGAACGACAGGCAAACAGAACGACAACGATACGGAAAGTTACATAGATAGATTTTGTTTACTGTGTGGAGATGTGCTGATATCGCGTTTGGTCTCATTCTGTATCGCGTATCTTGTCGGAAGTCGCTTTGGATAAAAGCGTCTGCTAAATGACTAAATAAATAGATAGATAGACAGACCGAAAGAAGGATAAATAGAATGACATAGATGCACAAACAGACAGACAAAAATAACTATATAAAGAAAGATACAATGATAGAGCAATAGACAGATAGATAGATAGAACGATGATAGATAGAATGATACAATGATGATAGATAGATGATAGATATAACGATACAACGATGATAGATAGATAGATAGATAGAACGATACACCGAAGATAGATAGATAGATAGATATAGATATAACGATACAATGATAGATAGATAGATAACAATAAGAATCATACAATAAGTATCAATAAGAAAGATACAGGCGGTGAGTTCTTTACCCAGGTCCATGTCGTCGGCCTGCGGGCGCTGTGAGTATGGGATGCCTTTGTAAACAGCATCTAGCAGCTTGTCCTTCACCTGAGTGATTGTGTCACAGTTTAGCACCTTGACAGGGATTTCTGTACCGGCCTCTCCCTCCGGAGGAATACACATGAGTGTCTGAGACAGAGCAACACAGAGATCAGGGATAATATTGATTGGCAAGATGACCAGCAAAGACACAAAAACACATCTCCATTCAAATCTAGCATGCAGACCACACACACACACTATCATACACATGGACTTAAGAGGGTGCGGAAAGGTCATGGGACATTTTATCATACACAGCGGGAGACTGGAGCTCTATTTGGCCCGGCTCTGCCAGCATATCAAAGACTGATCGGGATCCTGTTTCATACTTTGGCCTGATTGATCATAATAGCCATCTCAACTTTAACTGTTATGTCAATGGTGAAATATTTATCTGCCTGCAAAGCGGTATTCAGAATATGTGAAACACGCAGGTTTTGATAAAACGGTCACAGATCGATAAAAACAAACAGCAAGAGGCGATTGATTCGGCCACAAACAAGGATTCATATGACATGTCTGAAGTTAAAAGATACTTCAAGCTAAAGTGTGGAATCATTCAGATATTAAAACACCCAGTTCAATATGCAGAGACAACTACAAAAAAGACATTTATGGGTTGATTCCCCGGAAAAGTGTAAACATCGACTCAAATATTGATTTGTTTGTTTTTAGCAGCCTAACCAACACAGCAATACTGACGCAACCAATGGCCTGACTTTGGGGGCGGGACTATTTGTTTGACTGACCAATGACAGACGAGGAAATGTTCAGCAGAAAGTTCAGGGGAAAAAATAAAAATAAAAAATAATGAATGAATGAACAAATAAGTTAAAATTCACAGAATTTGACATTATTACCGTTTCAAGTGCTAACAAGATATTGATCTGTTTGTTTTTAGTATGAAGACCAACACAGCAACATTAACTCAACCAATGGTGTGACTTCAGGGGTTGGACTGTTTGTTTGACTAACCAATGACAGACGAGGAAGTGTTCAGCAGAAATTTCAGAGAAAAAAGTAAATCATAGAAATAATGGAAAATTAAAATTCACAGAATTTGACATTATTACCGTTTCAACGCTGCTCAAAAATCATGAGATTAATCATAAAACAGACCATGGTACCATGTCCAAATAAAACCGTAACACCATGGTACTTTTAATACTTCTGTTAGTGTATGAATGCATATTTTACTGTATGACTGTACTGTACATAATTTTTGCCATGGTTGCTATGGTAAAACCATCATAAAGCTATAAAACCATCATGCAGCTATATAGCATTGATAAAATAAATAAGACAAGAATGTAGAATGTGTGCATCAGCTCATTTATGCAGCCAGTAGCATAAGCAAAATCATAAAAAACAGCCCTCAGCACTTACCAAGCGAGTAACACATACACATAACAGCTTCATAAACAGGCAGGCGAGTTACATGAAAGAGCCGAGCATTTATTATGAAGCCGATGCTTTGATATATCTCCATTCACACCGTGACAACAGTCCATATAAATTCATGAGAAGACCTTTTGTGCGCATGGGTCGCGTTAATCGTGTGATTAAAACAATGCAGCTGGCACTGGTGCGTGACTGTGCATCCGTAATCGCGGCTACTCGCTGATCATTAGCTCATGGCAATTCCTCCTCTCCAGCCACGGCTCACACATGAGGAGTTTGTGATTAAAACCCAATTACACAGTAAATTACGGAATTCTCCCGGAGACGGAGCCCAGCTATATTTAGGACATCCGCCGTCGGTTTAGGAACGGGATTGGGTTGAAACTCAGAGCTTGGAGGAAATGAGGGTTTTACGAAAGCTTAACACCATAAAGATCAGTTCTCGTCTCTGGCTGTGTGTGTGTGAAGATGAGTGTGTGTAAAGGTGACTTTAGTGTGTCCTTTAGCACGCGTTCACACACCCACAGGCAGACTTCCTGGCCCAGCTGAAGCGTTTAATGCTTAAAGGAAGAGTAAATACTGGATCCATTCAAATACTCTGGAGAAATGAAATCTCTTATGTATTAATCATCTTCATTTTATATATATAATATATGTTATATATTGCATAATATATCTACTATATTAAAATGATTTATTATGTACATTATTATCATCATATTTATTATTAATATACGGATTATTATATATAGTTATAATAATTATAATATGTATTAAGATATATGAACGGCCAAACAGGAAATAATTATATAATATCTGAATATATCAATGTAAACTGTGAATATATAGAAGCAGATCTGAATATATATAGTTGTAAGTCGGAATATATAGAATTAAATCAGAGTATATCTGAATATATAAATGTAAATTGTGAATATATGTTATAAATATGTTATAAATCTGACTATATAAATGTATATCTGAACATATAGTTATAAGTCTGAACATATAGATACAAATCATAATATTTACATGTAAATCATGAATATATAGCAGTAAATCGGAATTTATAGTTATAATTCGGAATATATAAATGTAAATCATGAATATATGTATAAAAGTAAAAGTCGGAGTAAACAGAAGTAAATCTGAAAATATAGTTGTAAGCTTGAATATATAATTGTGAATATACAGTTATTGTTCTGACTATATAATTGTAAATCAGAATGTATGTTTATAAATCTTGAGTATATAAATGCAAATCTGAATATACTGTATATAGTCTACATTTCAATAATTCATGATGCATCACATTATTTAACAGAGAATGGAAACAAGGGCAAATGTTTGCACTCCTAATGAATATATCAACATACACGCTGTGTTACAGGTGAGCCTGACCTTTTCTGTCGGCCCATAGAGGCCTCTCTTTAGGGTTGACAGCTAAGACAGCTGAATAACTGTACCATATATTGATTCCCTTAAGCTGATCTATCCTGAATACTGTGGAATTGATGAGCTGTCCTATAGCTTTAACTACTACTGAGGAGTCATAGATTAAAGCTCCTTCATTGGTCGGCTCGTATTGTTCCATTAAAAATCAATGCACAGAACTCTGTCGGCGCAGACAGTAAATATGCTCTTTTGTGTAGTCATGTTTGTGTATGCGAGAGAGAGAGAGAGAGAGAGAGAGAGAGAGAGTAAATCAGCCGCTGTATTTCCTGGCTGTCTGCTGAGATAAATGAGGAGCACTGGGGTTGTTTTATGAGTGCCATGATAAATTCTCAGGTTTGTTTCAGTCATTACAGTCTCTGATCAGGCCATTCTTTGTTTTTGCTCGATCCCTGTCTCCGTTATGCCGCCTCTGACAAACCCTGCTCTCAAAGTCATGTTAGAACTTACTTTGCTTGGTCTGATATCATCTGTCTGATTGGCATTTGAGCTCTCGAGTCAGTTTTATCTTTAAAGGGCCAGTGGGACACTAATGAACATTAGGATTCAGAATTAAGAACCGGATCTTAATCAGAACCAGAGAAAAAAAAGATACTGGATCTAACGTTGATCTTGAAAATGTGGACAGAATACTGCCATCAAATATTAAATATAAGCATGACAGCTGTTTGTCATGACGACATTGCCTTCAAAATAAAAAACGAACTGAAAACAACAGTAATATTGCAGTATGATATTTCATACACATGCATTGGCTTATATTAAAAGATTCATATTAAAATTGTCGTAGATGTTATTCATTCCAAAAACTTGTTTATTAGTAACATTAAGTTAAGTATTAGCCAGGGTTAAAAGTAAAACCATAAAAGTTTTCCGTTTTCGTTAAATACTGTAAATGTTAACTGAAATAAAATAATATATAAATAAACTTTGATTATTTCAGCTAGTAGCCAAGGCAAACATCTAATTTTAGTTCAACTTTAGAAGTACTAAAATAACTAAGACTAATGAATACAAACTAATTAAATCTATACAGACATATAAAAAATAAAAATGACAAAAACACACAACAAAAGTACTAAAACTAACTAAAATTAAGGAGAAGAAAATATAAAAATCTAGTTCAAAATATGAACAAAATTGTAATAGTACACTAGAACACTTGTATTACTATTAATAGGAAGCATCTGAAAAGGTAAAACATTTGTAGTGTTTTGGTCCTTTTCAAATGTGTATTTGAGCTGAAGTCAAACACTTGTGGTCTTCAATGAGACCGGGGGTGCTGGGAGACAGGAAGTGGGATTATGGGATATGTGAGAGAGCGTCACCATGGAGACACTGACCAGCTGCTTGTAGTCGATTTGCTGTCGGATGAGCTTGTCTTCGCTCAGGGAGTATCTGGCCTCTCCTGTGATGGCGTCTATGGGACCTTTTTCCATCTGCTGTTTTATAGCACAGTAGAGCATAAACAGAGGCTCGCCAGCACACTCCTGCACAGAGAGAGAGAGAGAGGGAGAAAGAGAAAGAGAGAGGTCATATTCTACACCTTTGAAGCATTTTATTTTCTCCCTAAAGTCCACTTATAATGTTAGTCAAGGTTTCTTGCAACAAAGTTTTATATGTTCATGTTCCACTATCTTGCCCATTGAATTTAACAGGCTGTTTTTGCTACTGTACCTTTAAGACTTCTACATAAATAAATAAATACACCTGTTATCATTGGCTAAGCAATGCATTCTGGTTAATGCATTCTCACACAACTCCCATTAGCCATTTCAAAGAGTTGCATGAAGCAGAATTAAAGTCAATATCTGCTGTACTACGGTTTTTTTTTTTTTTTGGAAAGAAATTTATACCTTTATTCAGCAAGGGTGCATTAAACTGATCAAAAGTGACAGTAAATATTTTTACATTGCAGCAAAAAAAAAGAAAAAAAAAAGCATTTAAAATAAATGTTTTTGTTGTTGATATTTGTTCTTATTCATCAAGGAATACTGAAAAAATCTAATAATAAATACATGTATTATCAAATATTAGGCAACAAACTGCTTTCAACATTGATAATTAGAAATGTTTCAGCAAATTAGCATATTAAAATTATTTCTGAAGGATCATGTGACACTGAAGACTTGAGTAATGGCTACTGAAAATTCAGCTTTCCATCACAGGAATAAATTACATTTTAAAATATATTCAAATAGAAAAGAATTATTTTAAACTGTAATAATATTTCACAATATTACAATTTTTACTGCATTTTTTATCAAGCAGAAGAGACATTCAAAAACATAAAAAACATTTTTACATAAAAACTAGAGATCCAAACCCATTAGAATCACTATATGAAATCACAGATCCAGTGTTAATAATTAAAATAAAAACATTGAAAAGAAACATCTTATTAAAAATAGTGCTTACGTCTCATAAGCAGAAGCTCTGTGTTGTGAACATTTTAGTATGTCTATGTGGAACCTCATCGCATTTATTTCCAAAAGAGCAAGAAAATCATTACATGTCTCCTTTAAAACCTTTCACCTTTAAAGAACACGCCAAAGAACTCAAGACGACTTCCTGCACAAAATACCACAGAACATCAATTCAATAAAATCACAACGAGCTGTAATTTTCACACACTTCGAACACGCCTAATTGCACCTTTAAATACGGAGGAAAAAGCAATGAAAGGAGAGAGAAAAAGACATATTCTGACCAGAAGGAAGAGAAAAAGAGATTCAAGGCGGCGAGTGTGCAGAGAAAGAAAGAGCGGCCGTGAGAATGAGAGACACGACCGATCACGGTTCTTTTCAGATGGCATTTGTGAAGTGTGGAGAAGTCTCCAATTACCCACTTTAAAAGCGTTTGATGACTAAACAGCGATACTGAGGGGAGGCTATTATTTAGTTCTTAGGCGAGATCAGCTTGACATTATTAATTACAGCATGACATCCTGAATCACACTCTTCTAACGCAGGCGGAGAGGGTTACCCAGCATCTATTGCACGCCTAACAGCAAAGTAATTCTAAACAACCAGCCTCTGAACTCTATGTCAAGTGCATTTCGTCTTAATATATACATCAAATCCTCATCTTTCTATTGCTTTTAGAGGCTGTCAGCATTCTGGCTCCATCTGCTATTCATAGTCTGGCCGTTAGACCCTGTTATGACACAACAGATGTGTGTCACGGGATCCGCGCCAGGTTTCATTCGCTAACAGACACGTTTGAATATAGAATTCACACGGTTTAACATCAGCAGAGTAAATGCAGATGACATGAACTGACAGCACAAGAGGAAGCCCTAAATATCTGTTAACAAATATTTATTTAACCCTTGTAGGATTACGTCACCCCAAAATGAAAATTCGATCATCATTTACACACCCTCATTTCGTTCCAAACCTGCATGACGTTCTTTTGTAAAACTCTAACAGTGAAATCACATAATGAAAGCATAGAGTGAACATGGACCATTAAGCCCCCAAAATAAATAAATAAATAGCCATAATCCTAGTCCAGAAGACTATGTACAACTAAAATGTTAGTGTCACCCAACCCTGCTGGAAATACCATCTAAGCTACAGTTTGCTGGTCTTAGCTGGTTTTACAATCTTACCAAACTGCAGCTAGCCTGGGCTGTATTCAGCTGGAGTTTTTCTTTTTACAGCAAGTAAAGCTATTGTAAAATATGGATTCAGAAGTGGTATATGCTTTATCTGACCCTACTGTAAAAAGCAAGGCAAATATAATCTAAGAAAACCAGCTTAAATAATATTTTCAGCGGTTGGGTGAGACCAGCATTTTACTTGTTATTTTGTGAGTCTACATTGTTTTATTACATTTAATTTAGTACTGGACTACGATTAATCGCGATTAATCACATCCAAAATAAAAGTTTTTGTTTACATATGTGTGTGTACTGTGTATATTTATTATGCATATATAAATACACACACATATACTATATATTTTGAAAATATTTCTGAAAATAATTATATTCATATAATTTATATTATATATAAATATATTTAATATATAAAAATAATATATTTTTTCTTAAATATATACATGCATGTGTGTGTATTTATCTATACATAATAAATATACACAGTACACACACATATACTATGTAAATAAAAACTTTTATTTTGAATGCGATTAATCGCGATTAATCGTAGTCCAGCACTAATTTAATAAAATTTGATGTTCTATATTTATATTTAGGTTTGGTATGACATGAGTTTAAGTAAATAATGGCATCTCATTTCTGGAAGAATTAATGCTTTAATGGCCGGTTCAGACTACACGATTTTAGCCCGATTTTGCCACGATTTGCTTGACGTAGGGTGTCATGGGGATTCGTAAATGACAATGGGCATCGGGACGCAAGATTCCATTGTTTCAGCTCGTGTAGTGTGTCATAGTGGTCGACAACCGATTCCGCGTCTGCGATGCGTCACAACATCACGACAGAAATACTAGCATGTTTAATTTTTTTCCATCATCCATGACGAGTTCCGTCACATTGGTGACATTGACCAACAGCAGCACAGAAGCTCTTTCATAAAAATATTGGAACTGTATACTGTTTTTTTAATCTAAATTTTTTTAACAGTCCGTTTTTTTAAATACATTGTGGTAGCAAGTTAGCTACATTTAGCCTATTGTTTTTACTACTGGCTAAAAAAAATATATATATATATATATAAACAATATTATATCTCAAGTTCTCTTTGGAGGATTGACAGCCCATACTGTCCTCTTCGAGCAAGCCAGGAACGTGTCCATGGTTGGGCTCTTTCTTTCTTTTTTTGCGTTTTTCTGAATACAAGACAGCCAGAACGAAACATGCTGCTTCAGCCATGTTTACACTCTTGTTTTCGGAAGTCAGTCGCTAGTTCCGCCTTCTTGATGACATCACGTGCGTCGTTAAAGACGGCACGCGATGAGTGGTCGGGAAGTATGACATATTTCTTGTCCACGACACGAAAAGATTTTAGGAGTCAAAATTGTGTAATCTGACACAGTGACTATCGTGACCGACAAAAATATCGTGATGCATAAGGTGATTGTTTACCCTGATGATAAAAATATGTTCCAAGAACGTTTGGCTAATGTTCCCATTAAGTTATGGAAATGTTATTTCTGAATGTTCTCTGAAAGTTTCAAATGCCCAGTTTTTTTTTTCTTTCTTGGTTATGCTAACGTTAATTAAAACTCCAAAAGAATGTTCCATTTAATGATTCTGCAAAAATCATGGGAATGTTACTTTTCGATATTAAGGTTACGGGAAGAACATCTGTTCAAAACTTTGAGAGAACCTTGCCAGAAAGTTCTGAGAATGTTCGCTGCGTATGTTCTTTATGAATGTAATGTTAAAGTGATGCCCAAAACAAATGTTTGTTAATAAGGTGATGTACGCGACATAAATGTACAACAGATATAAACATACTGAATGCTTTGGCTTTATATATATGAAATATATATATATATGTATTTATATGAAATTACAAGTACACACCCAGGCAGTGCCATAGAGCCGTAACAAGAAGGCATTTCGTGGTAATTACTCCTAGAGGCCTGCATGGTGGCCAAAACACTTAAGCATCTGCACTGATGTGATGTAAAGACGCTGGGCGGCCGGCCAGTGCTACATTCTGTAGGGCAGTTCCAGTCCTGAATGCACAAAGGGCCTGATGTTCCCGCCCTTAGTGCTAATAGCCATCTCAATCTGCTTTAGCCTGATTCAGCGATGTTTGGGTCATCTTGGTGAACTCCGTAACATCTGACAGGATGTGGGATTGAGCGAGTGCCCTCTCAGCCTCCACGCGGCTGATTTCAGGGTTGGGCGGAAGCTGTGGCATTCCTGAGTCGTTATCTGGAGCGTAGGCTTTAGCGAGATTTATTAGCAGGCTTTGCGATGAGTCAAGCCGTCAAAAACGTCACCATGCCAAAATCTTCTCGCAAATAAGATGCTTGTTAGCCAGAGCACATTATTAAATGTGCTTTACATAGCACATTATTAAAACTGACTGAAGGTTTATGTTAGAAAACACATCACAAACCTTGAGGAAGCGGTGAAGGAGGAATGTGAACCAGTTGGTGAGCATCTTCTCAGCCACAGACTCAGTTCTGACAAAAACAAACACAATCCATAAATACTAATTATGCTGTGTGGTTGCTAAGGTTTTCTGAACAGTTGTTATGGTATTGCTAGGTGGTTGTTAAGGTGTCCTGAGTGTTTTTTTTAGCATGTTGCTTTGTAGTTGCTAAAGTGTTCTGGGTGATTGCTAGGGCATTGCTAAGTGCTTGCTAAAGTGTTTTGTGTGGTTGCTAGGGTGTTGCTATGCAGCTGCTAAGGTGTTTAGGGGGTTGCAGGGCCTTACTATGCAGTGTTTTTTGCATGCTGCTATGCAGTTGTGTAGTGTCGTAAGGTGTTCTGACTGGTTTTTATGGCATTGCTATCCAGCTGCTAAGGTGTTCTGGGGGTTGCTAGGGCGTTGCTATGCAACTGCTAAGGTGTTTAGGGGGTTGTATGGCTTTGCTATGTGGTTGATAAGGTTTGCTGGGTGTTTTTTGCTTGCTGCTATACGGTTGCATAGTGCTGTAAAGTGCTCTGAGTGGTTTCTAGGGTGTTGCTATGCAGCTGCTGAGGTGTTCTGAGGGGTTGCTAGAGCATTGCTAGGTTACTGCTAAAATGTTCTGCATGGCTTTTAGAATGTTGCTATGTGGTAGTTAATGTGTTCTGAGGGGTTTTCTAGTTAAAATATTTTGGGAGATTGTTAAGGCATAGTTAGGTGGTTACTAAGGTGTTCTGGGGGGTTGCTAGGGCGTTGTTATACAGCAGCTAAGATGTTGATGTGTTGCTAGGGTATTGCTATGTAGTTGCAGGTGTTCTGGTCGTTTGCTAGGATGTTGTTATGCAGTTGCTAAGATATTCTGGGGGTTGCTAGGGTTTTAATATTTTTTTTTTTACAAGAGTGATGATGAATCATCTAGAAACTTTGAGTAAGAAATTTGAATTATCATGCTCCACCTCTTACCGTCTAAGCAGCAGTTTGGGGTGGTTATGGTTCTCCAGGTTCTTTTCGATTAGGTCGGCAAGAAGCTGTTTGAGAACCACAGTGGCGTACTCCATCCGTCCCTGCAGCGCCGCCATGAGGAGGGAGGCCACGTTGCCGCGATCCCGCATGGAGAAGGACCTCTGAGCCTCTAGTGTGTGGATGAAGGTCAGAAGGAACATCTTGTTGTGCAGCAGTTGACTGAACAAGCGTAGGGCCTTCTCCACATTAGCCGGAGACTGAGAGGAGAGGGAACGTTTGATTAAATGAAAGAAAAAGCAGGAGAACAAAAACACAAATGGAAAAGCAAGACAGGAAGGAGATGAGAGAAAAATGCGCAACAACAATTGTTGCCTGAATGCATACTCGAAAAAAAGCTCCGTTGCGGTGAGATTTAATTATTCGCTGACTATTTTCAAAAAATGTTTTGTTAAGGCACGTCTCTAGACGGCTATTCCACCAGGGCCTTGCAGGGCTGCTGATTTCATTCTGCCTGAGGTTTTAATTAAAAAGCATGCTGAAAGAGGGGCGTTCGCTCTGAAGCTCACTACTGAGACAGCAGTACCGTAGCTTCAGAGCTTAGGGGATCTTTTTAAAGCACATCTAGGGTTTTTTTTTTGGCAGAATGATTAAAAGAAAATGGTCTATGAGTTGTGGCAACCTACTATTGGCACTTGTGAGTGACAGACGACACCTGGGGACAGAGAAATTGAATCAGGAGGTTTTAAAAGTTCCCTTACATCCAGCTCCTTTAGAACGGGGTGTTCTTCGATGCCAGGGAACATCACTCTCATGGTGTAGGTACGATACTCCAGGAAAGGGATCTTCACACCGTCCATGTCGTTTGTCAGCTCTTGGATGTCTGTCTGCAGCTCAGCAAATGCTGAGAGTAATAAAGAACAGAAGAGATATGCATCCATCAGACTGAAGAACACCTCATATGCAGTGACAGACAGATATACTAGGAGGATATTTGACAATATTTTGAGATTTCTGGCATTAGCTACAATATGGTAAGAAATGGTTATTTTGTGTCATTTCAATTTCGTATCTGAAATTTATGAACTTCATGACAGAAACACTGAAACTAAACAAGATTCTAATTTAATTGGTTTCCTTTGCAACTATTAGCTGTAGTAGCTGGTTGTTTTGTTGATGTTAATCAAACACTCTTTTCTTGTCTAACAGGGCAGTTTTTTACGTTCATCATGGAATCAGGCTTGGGAGATTAAATTAAATTATCCATCACTGATTGAAAACAAGAAAATTGAAGTCATTTTTCTCTGTAATTGAGTTGTAGTGCACAATAATATTGACTGCTCTCGATTTTTTAAAAGTGAGTTCAGTACTACAATAAGTAAAAGGGATCTTTTTTGTATTTCTGCCATCATTAAATTATATATTGTAAATAAATAGTATATTACATAATTAAGATTACACAAAACAATACATGGCTGTATTTAAATGAATAATTATGTTAAACAATATTTACTATATACATACATACACACAAACATATACACAGTGCATATATTACACTGAAATATATTTTAAAATGTAATTTATTCCTGTGATGGCAGAGCTGAATTTTCACTGAAAAAATCAGACGGGAGCCATTACTTCTTCAGTGTCACATGATCCATAAGAAATCATGCTAGTATGGTGATTTATTCTTATTTTCAATGTTGAAAACAGTTGTGCTGCTTAATATTATATATTATTATATATTAATATTTTTTTTTTCAGGATTCTTTGATGAATAGAAAGTTTAAAATAACAGTATTTATTTGAAATGAAAATCTTTGTAACATTATAAATGTCTTTACTGTCACTTTTGGCCAAGTTAATGCATCCTACATGTATTATACTGTTACAAATTGTAAAACTGCACCCTCTCTCTCTCTCGCTTTATATAATAGCACTTCTGGTATGAATGCAAACAGTTTCAGTCAGTTTCACTGACAAAAGACACAGAAATGAAAAAACTTTCAAATCGCATAAACAGAAAGTTGCATTCATTCCAGTATCTCATGGCATTCTTTTAACAAATGCATAAATAACACCGCACCATGTCTGCCTGAGCTACAGATCCTTTTAAAGCCGTGAATAAAACCAGTATCAAAGGATGAGGACTTTATGACGTCATGACCCAGTTCAATCCCTCCACAAAGACTGCGTCAAACTGCAAGAATCCAGGCTACTGCAGTGCGAGAGACGCATCCGACTCACTCCCGTTCAGTGCCCACGGGAGACCTCGCGCACAATAAAATAAAACATCACAGCTCCATTTGATTTATCCTATGGGTTAAAACCATTAGTAGCTCATTAAAACACTCTGCACACCTGTCTGAAACAGCTTGGCATGGGCCATATGCACCACAGATGCTGAACTAGCCCAAAATCATACCTTCCTTGCACTCTAGCGCGACCCGGGACTCCAGATTGTCCATCTGCAACTGTAGGCGTTTGAGCGTGCGGTCGGCATCCCTCGTCTTGCGCTTGTAGGCGATGAGCACGGCGATGATGGCGATGAGGAGGACGCCGCCGCCGGCTCCGATCCCGATGATGGCAGGCAGCGTAAGAGTGCTGTCGGAATAGATGTGAAGCGTTCCAGGAGAATATTCCAAGCCGCCCACGAGAATCTACACGCACAGACAAAAGAAACTATTAGAATGGGTTGAGTGCAAGGCCCTTCAATCTAACGACCCTGTCGGGTTTAGTGGGTCATAATGAGAGCTTTTGATTAGCTGAGGGCACTCATACTGTTTCTTCTTGAATGAAATCAGTTCACAATTAGAATTACTACAGAATTATGCACTTGTTTGACACGTTCACGTCGCGATCCTCCACTTGCGGCGAGAGAACAATCGCTCACGCCTCCGTCAGACACCGTGACCACTAATCCACATCAAATTACTTCAAAAGTCACTTTGGCACAGGTGTGAAGGCAATTAGGCAGAAATCAGCACGTAATAGAGGTCTAGTTAGAGATTCTCGTCCGACTGAGGCTAGGTACCGGGAGCTCAGCCTTGCACCATTCGCGGACCAATTAAACGCGGCATCCAGCCATCTGTCTTAACAAGTTTCACCTTTCTGCGGCTGCTCGGGCCCCGCGTGGCTGCATGAATTATTGAGACCCGGTGATAGAGGGGAACAAAGTGAATCCTGGAGCGCTGTCGATATGTGTCAGGTCATTAGCTGAGTGATCCCAGCACTCTGGATCCCACTATGTCTCTCTCTCTTTCATTCTTTTTTCCCTTTTCTATGGCTGTTTCTCCACACTGTGGATTCACTAACTGGAACTCAACTGAATAATCGGCTCTTTGATACACGTAATCTTTCTTTCCACAGAGTTAGTGCTAATCAGTCATTCAGGAAGGTCTTGGATCAAATTAAGTGGTGTAATGTGAACGTATACCTTATATTTAGAGGAGAAGGTCCTGGATTTGAATAGAATTGACTTATGATGCTATTGACCAGTTTTGAAAGTAATTACTGTGATAAGGTTTGCATTCAGGAAACTGTATTGGCAAAATGTTCAGTGATTTAAAACGAAATTTTCTGAAGAAATTCATGTCATGATGCTTGAGTGCGCGCTGAGGCGTGGCTATGTATGCATATCTATGTAGCAATATGCATATTGATTTTGATTGCTTCTATTGTCCTCATTTGTAAGTCGCTTTGGATAAAAGCCTCTGCTAAATGTCTAAATGTAAATGTAGTTCAGAGGTGTGAATCTTTGTTCAACTCGATTATGTTCAATTCAATTCATGATTCGATTTTTTTGATTTAGCGATTTTTGCATACATTCAGAATGATTCATATATATATATATATATATACAGTGGGTACGAAAAGTATTCAGACCCCCTTAAATTTTTCACTCTTTGTTATATTGCAGCCATTTAAGTTTTTAAGTTTGTACCAACTGTATATACACATTCAGTACACACAAACACACACACACACACACACACAAGTTAAATATTATATATATATATATATATAAATAAATGAATGAATCCCCATTTATTATATTTATGTACATTACATTTATATTTTCAGACTAACACTTATACATTTAGTCTTATAACTATATATCCAAGATTTATAAATATATTCTTTGTGTATATAAGTAAGAAACTATATAATTAATATATACATTATATAAAATATATACATTATACTCATTCATTAAATTTACATTTTCAGGCTTATAACTAGGCTTATATTTGAGGCTTATATTCTGGATTTATAAATATGCATTCAGATTTCCTATAATTTGCTCCTATTTGACTTTTCATATATATATTAATTCATATTTCAAGATTGATACAAATTTTTCCTCGTTTGGCTCTCAGCGAAGGCGGTCGCATTTTCTCCCTCTCTCCTCCCCGTTACCTTCCCTGCTTTTGCTCCTCTCGTCTTGTCTACTGTCTTGATTTTGAGAGACTCTCTCCGCACTGCTCTCCAGACTAAAATATTATATATATATATATATAAATAAATGAATGAATCCCCATTTATTATTATATTTATGTACATTACATTTATATTTTCAGACTAACACTTATACATTTAGTCTTATAACTATATATCCAAGATTTATAAATATATTCTTTGTGTATATAAGTAAGAAACTATATAATTAATATATACATTATATAAAATATATACATTATACTCATTCATTAAATTTACATTTTCAGGCTTATAACTAGGCTTATATTTGAGGCTTATATTCTGGATTTATAAATATGCATTCAGATTTCCTATAATTTGCTCCTATTTGACTTTTCATATATATATTAATTCATATTTCAAGATTGATACAAATTTTTCCTCGTTTGGCTCTCAGCGAAGGCGGTCGCATTTTCTCCCTCTCTCCTCCCCGTTACCTTCCCTGCTTTTGCTCCTCTCGTCTTGTCTACTGTCTTGATTTTGAGAGACTCTGAACTGGCACCTCTCATCAAAAAGCCACATGATTTGATGCATCATTCATGACAGCGGTGCAGGGTAAAACGTGATAAAGTACTAAAGTTTCATACTTAAGGATAAAGGGTTTATTCAAATGACTAACACAAGTATGAGCAACAATAATAGTGATGATTTCCTGAGCAATGACCACTAATGAGAGCCATTATTATCAATAAAGGGGGCTGAACGTGTCTCAAATGCTCTTTCGAAGCATATGTCAGGGCTCAGAAAGGTTATGAAGGATTCCTGTCTGCTGCTGGGAGAACAGGCAGCTAGGTTACGTGGGAAATTGCTTGTATCAGCGCTCCCTATAATCCTAATAAGTACTTAATGTACGGCGAGCCACTTCCAGTTGACCTTTATGTTTTCCATTTAGCATTAAGGTAAAAAATGGCCATGCGGCAGTGGCTTATTAAGAGATTGATTAAATGAGCGGCACAATGCCCGAGTCCATGCAAACCAAACATTCAGCATTTTCGCCATCTTACGGCCATCCATTCATTTTCTGCCACCTTTATTGGTTGATATACAATAAATAAGGAGCTGTAAATTCTCAGTCAGTGCAATGAGAGGTGAGCATGTTTTGCTCTTCACCAGCACGAGAGGCTCCTTAAACAGTAGATTAGGTGTTTATAATGCATAATGGGAAACGTCCTAACTGCATGATCCTCACCATCACTCGCTGTTCTCCGGTCAGATCCGGCGAATCACAGAGCAGCTGAGATTCCGAGACGGTTAACAGACAGGGCGTTTCTCCAATCATCACGCTGTAATTCAGGCGGGCGTTGCCAGGAGCAGGAGGGATGAGATTCTTGCCCTTTTTACAGATAAAAGCACAGAAAACTGAATTCACCAAAAAGTGATCAATATAATTTGAAACGTTCAGGTCACCCCAAAATAAAAACATTCCATATGATATAAATCATAAATTACATAATATAAATCATATATAATTATAATATATAGGAAATAATTGTATATTTTTTTATTCAAAACAAAGCATAAAAAAAGAACATAATATTTTAAATGCATTTAAGAACATTCAGATTTTCAATACTGTGACATTATATTTTTATTGTAATTTAGCACATTTAAACTCCTTTCCTTAAAGTATACATCATGGTCGTATTTGGTGTATTAACTTTAATGTATGAAAATTTACGAAAAAAAAAGATGTGATCAGTGGCTTATTAAGAGATTGATTAAATGAGCGGCACAATGCCCGAGTCCATGCAAACCAAACATTCAGCATTTTCGCCATCTTACGGCCATCCATTCATTTTCTGCCACCTTTATTGGTTGATATACAATAAATAAGGAGCTGTAAATTCTCAGTCAGTGCAATGAGAGGTGAGCATGTTTTGCTCTTCACCAGCACGAGAGGCTCCTTAAACAGTAGATTAGGTGTTTATAATGCATAATGGGAAACGTCCTAACTGCATGATCCTCACCATCACTCGCTGTTCTCCGGTCAGATCCGGCGAATCACAGAGCAGCTGAGATTCCGAGACGGTTAACAGACAGGGCGTTTCTCCAATCATCACGCTGTAATTCAGGCGGGCGTTGCCAGGAGCAGGAGGGATGAGATTCTTGCCCTTTTTACAGATAAAAGCACAGAAAACTGAATTCACCAAAAAGTGATCAATATAATTTGAAACGTTCAGGTCACCCCAAAATAAAAACATTCCATATGATATAAATCATAAATTACATAATATAAATCATATATAATTATAATATATAGGAAATAATTGTATATTTTTTTATTCAAAACAAAGCATAAAAAAAGAACATAATATTTTAAATGCATTTAAGAACATTCAGATTTTCAATACTGTGACATTATATTTTTATTGTAATTTAGCACATTTAAACTCCTTTCCTTAAAGTATACATCATGGTCGTATTTGGTGTATTAACTTTAATGTATGAAAATTTACGAAAAAAAAAAGATGTGATGTAAGAAATTGGGAATTTGTTTAATTTGAAAAAATCCTAAATTAATTAAATTCTCTTATGGTCTTTTTCTTGTACAATAAATGTATAATTTTGCATGATGGAAAAAATGATATCAGAGCGAAATATGACATAAGACATAAGATACACCAAAATTCAAAATGAGAATGTAAATACAGGATGGTGAGATTATGACAAAGGTCATGCCTTCAAGATGATGGGTGATCCTGGTTTGACCTCCAGAATCCCAGCATTCCCAAGGGGATCAAAGGTGGGGTTTGGATAGTATGTGAAAGGAGTTCCATTGAGGATGAGGAGAGCGGACACATGGTCCAGGATGAAGCCAAACTCATCCGGGTGAACTCCACAATCTGGAACCTGGCGTTTGGTGTAGATGATGCCCGGAGCCAAGCACGTCATCACGGAGTCATTCACCACCGCACAAACCTACAAAGGAACATCCCGACATTTGTTCTTATCACGTAAACAACAAGCTGTCCATAATGCTGGTGGGGGCAGAGAGGAGAAAGACAGCTGGTGGGGAACTCACGTTTGTGGTCTCCACTCCTCCATATTTGGCTCGGACTTTGGGTTCCTGAATGGTTAGCAGATTGGTTCCTGTGACCGTGAGGGTGGTGCTGCCACTATCAGAACAAACAAGCAAGTTTCATACCTCGAACTGAGTGACTCTGCATATATGACTGTGTGTCTGCTTCTAGGGAGTCAGAATTTAGGCTCTAGTGAATAGTAAGCCGTTTATTCTGTACTGATATAAGGCAATCACCGATTACAATGCGCTAATCATATTTTCATCCTAAATGGTGTATTGACTATATATATATTTTTTTATATTTCATCAAACTAAAAATAAAATATTTCACTCAAACTATTTTGATTATCAGTACTTGAGCTTGCCATATATTCTTTGTGCTAATTAGACTACTGAGTCATTGACATATGCTAACTCTCTATCGGAAACAGCTGTGAGTTTCTGTCCTCATGCAGCATTTCAGATCATTCATTTATGAAATTCTATTAGGCTTAGGAAGCTGTCTTTGAAGTTAGCAAGACATATTAGCCTGTGTAGACCGCAGACTGTGAGGTATCTCACTAGGGTTTGGAACAGAGCCAATAAGCGTGTGTGAGATTGTGTTAACGTACTTAATGATGCTCCAGTTGGGTTCTACGCTGGAAACGGTTGGATCTTCAGTGTAAATGTATCGTGTATCGCTGGTGACCTCGGCCTTGTCAATGAAGAGCTTGACGGATGAAGCTCCAGAGCCTGATGCTGATGGTGGTGTCATGCACACTATCTCACGCACCGTTCTCCTGTTGGAACAAAACATGAAGTTAAATTATACAAAACCAGAAATATTTGAAGCCATTTTCATAATTGTGTCCATTTTTATTTGAAATTTTGAAAAATGTATCAAAACCTGACTGCATAAACAGCCTAAACCAGCCTACAGTGGTTTGCTGGTCTTGTCTAGCTTTAAGATGGCTTATTTAAGCTGGTGTTTATCTGGTCAGTCATATGTCTAAAAACCCTTTCAGAACCATCAAAATAGACCAGCTTAACCATCTTGCCCAGGCTGGGAGACCAGCTAACCACTGTAGACTGGTTTAAGCTGTTTTTTTTAGACGGTTGAGAGGACCTCTAATGTGTTTTGGATGCTGGTTTTTCTACCAGCAAGACATTTTTGGCCAACCAGTCTCACCAGCTGAGTTTTGTTGGTAATCAACATGGCTAGACCAAAATAAACCAGTCTAAACATGAATGAGAATACATGCTGGTCTTTTTTCAGCCAGTAAATTGCTTTCAGACTGGCTTTAAAGGCACCATTAATGTCAGATTTAACGATCTAGAACAAATGAGTGTTTAATCACACAATTACAGAAATTGCTTATTTCTGGCAAAAATGTAATCATACGTTAAATTAAAAAATATATTTTTTTCGTCTTCTAATTCTACAGTCATTAAATGTTCAAATATTCAAATATTTTAATCAATTTAATTATTACTGTAGTCATTGAGTATTCATTAAAAATAGATAAACATTTTATATATTTATTTTAATATTTAATGGATATTTAAATGCCAAATGATTGGCTGAACTGAAAATAGAAATTGAAAAAAAAAATATATATATATTTTTAATTTACTTCATTATTTTTTTTTTTCATGTATACTTATGGCTTTGTATACTTATAAGATGTCTTTGGTCAACCAGATTCACCAGCTGAGATTTGTTAGTGAATTCCGAGTATGGGTTACCATACTTGGCCACACGTCACTAAGCAAATGCTACTGCATTTTAATCACCACATGCAATGCATCAGGTTTCCTGGTACATGAACATGTGGACATATTTGAGGACAGCCATGCACGTTCATTTAGTTTCATGTGGAAATGACACATATCGCTGTATCTCACAGATGTTGAGGGACACAGATGTGATCCGCACCCGAGCTGACAGAAAAGCTGCTCACCTGACAAACAGACACTCTTCCTGGGCCAAAAACACGGTCACGGTGCTCCCGGCATCCAGATGTCGGCCTGAGATAGTCAGTCTGGTCCCGCCGGACACGGGTCCTTTCTCCGGCCGCACCCGGCTGAAACTCGGAGTCTAGAGGGACGAGAAAAGCAGCGCTAACTTCCGAACAGATGGAGCTCACGAAGCGAGATACAGACGCTCCAGCGTGCACTTGTTTTCCTCATTCTGGTACTACACGAAGAGATTACACTCATCACTGTAATAGAAATGTCCTGTTTGCTCTCGCGCCGTGTAGGGCTCGTTTGTTTCGGCGCAGGACCTGTCAGAGGCCGTCCTCTCGCAGTAATTAGTTGCATACCTGCGTAATTGGTCGGAGTGTGCGTGTTCATTTGCTTTACCCTTCTACACGACTGAAGCTGCCTGGACGCTATTGAATAGATGTAGAGGGAATCCAGGCAGGGTCATCTATATATATGTGTGTGTGTGTGTGTGTGTGTGTGTGTGTGTGTGTGTGTGTGTAAAGCTCCTGGGCTCGGGATAATAGACTAATGCTTTATTCCTGCTAGGCACCACTTAAAACTCAGTGGGGAGGAAGGGGTAATTGTGTCATTCTTTACATCCCCCTTCCCTTCAACTACATTATCACATGGGCTCCACCAGTTGATTTGATTGGCTAACAGGATGTAGGAGTGGGAATCCTAACGATTCATTGGTTTCGAGTGCAAAATTGGATTGGCTGAGTCTCAAAGGATGGATTCGTATTGATTAGCTGCGCGTAAATCACCACAAACAAAATGTTAGCAGCAATAAGGGAATCGATATGAAAAGAATGATTAAAATATAACCGCTACGTCTAAAATCGAAGGAAGCGCCTCACTGGCCAGTCAGGTGCCGTTTTGTGTATGAAGGCACCTGGACACTGCTTTAAAAAGTACGTCGTCACATTTAATATTGTAGAACAAATCCAAGTGAGTTTAGAAATAACCCATAGAGTGTTTAGTAATTACGATGCTTATTTCTGGAAGAAATGGAATCAAAAGTTAAATTAAAAGGAAAATAAATTAAAATTGAAAAAGTAAAAAATAAATCTATAGTTTCTTTTCAATTAAAAATCAGCACTTTTGCCATTAAATATAAAGAGAAATAAATACACTTGTATATAAAAATGATAAAAGTGATAAAATTATAAAAATTCTACATAATGGTAAATGAATCATAATGATAAATATTAAAGATAAATAAATATTTATTCTAAAAATGGTTAAAGAAAGTCTAATAAATATAAATAAATGATGAATTAATTAATACTAAAATGGTATATAAATAATATAAAAGATACATATTTAAAAGACAAAAATGGTAAAAATGATCGATAACTTAATGAATAAATAATTGGTTAAGAAAATAACATTTAAAATAAAAATAATAAAATACATATATTTTAACATACCTATTTTTTCAACTTTAATTCCATTTCAACTAAGAAATAAGCACTGTAGTCATTACATTCTTTATAAATAAATAAAAATGGACATTTTGACTTTTTCCAACCACTCTGGCATTTCTTCTGTCAACCAATCGCTGAACTGCACACACAGGATTATGAGATTGAATTAGGATTTGTTTCGATGCCTTCCTTCCTCCATACATTGCCTGATAAGGCAACATTATTCAAGTTTCAGACAGAGCCAAGATGTTGTCCCTTTCCTAAACAAAAAAAGTAGAGGACGTACCACAAAAGAGTATGTCTGAGACGACTGGGTTCGATACTCTGCACTGCAGTCTCCGATACACAGCTCCACCGGACCACCAGGGGGACTCGACATCAGAGATTCCTCCATATCACACACGATCCTGCAGGCCAAGAAAAACATGGAAATCACTCCTGCACAAAACACTGTCCAAAAACTAATTCAAAATAACTAGCAACACTGGAAGCATAACCCACCTCTCAGCGCTGATGTATTCAGAAGCAGCAGGGTTGCAGCGAACCCCCGCCACACGCACATGAGTGATCTCTCGAACCTGCAGCCCCAGATTCTCTCCTTCGATGGTCACGCGTGTGCCACCCTCCTTCGGCCCCGTCAGTGGACGGATCTGTGAAGAGATGACGGCTTTCCATTGGAGGATATAAAAGAAGCAAATTCTAAGAGCTTTAAAGGTCACCACTTTGAAAGGTGCAGTCTGGGATATCGGTCATGCAGGAGGATTGTGTATTTCATTTGTGCTTTTAACCATACTTTAAGGGACGATTTACTAAAGATGACAAACAGAAGATACAAAAGAGGACATCTTCAATGAGGAAAAAAGCCTAAATGTAAATAAATGAAAATACATACATTTTGATTCTAAAAATAATAAATTAATAATAAATTAAATATTTTTTACTTCTGAAAATGGTAAAGAAAATACTAAAGATGGATAGATTGATTAATAAATAAATAAATCATACAGATAAATAATGATAAAAAATATTTTTATTAAAAAATTGTAAAAAACTCAAATGAAAATAAATTAACATTTCATTTTTGTAACATTAATACAAAAAATGTTAAATAATAAAGATAAATACATATTTTCAAAAACGGAAACAAAAACGGGTAAAAGGTAAAAAAGACAAATTAAAGAATATGTAAATAATTCTAAACACATTAAACAACCAAGGTAAATAAAGATGTATAATAAAAAAATAAAAAATAACTGCTGTAATTCCAAAAAAAGTAAAATAAATAAATAAATAAAGATGAATGAAAAAGCAAACAAATAAATAAAAATAAAATAATTTTAATTCGAAAAACAGTCTATATGAAACAAAAAAAATCTCAATACACATTCCAGGTTTTATTGTGCATAATTTATCAGGGCAGATTGTTTAGAAAGCAACAACAATCTCTAGAATGACTTTCTTCTTGACAGAAATTATTTACCACCTACCTAGTGTCCCTAACATAATTTCTTTCCTCATTGTTTACTTCAATGTTTTGGTTAGGGCTCATCTGAAAACAATACAAATCTATTGTCCAGGATGGCTCTCAGATGACGTGTGTGTGTTACCTTAGTGATTCGGGGATGGCTGCAGCGTACGTTGCGCCGTCCCTGATGCATCCAGTTGTGTTCGGGTGATGGACAGTGTTGCTTCAGGAGACACTTCTTATCGGCCAAACACCAGCCACACTCAAACATGCTGTCTGCCTTCAGACAGAGTCCACAGCTGTCCCTCTGAGCTTCACACTTATACAGGAGAGCTGCATCCACACACACACACACACACACACACACACACACATATATACACAGAGAGAGAGAGTGAGAATATAGCCGTGCTCTCAGCTGGGCAGTTAAACGCAGGCCATGTTTGGAGTGGTGCTAGCTGTGTGGTGCCAATCGATAATTGAACTGTAAGGGGAAGGTAGCAGAGGCGAAACCCACGCCTGCTTTCACTGTGCCGTGATTCATGTGCTGCCCACACAGACTAATAACTCTGACCCGAGGCCTTGAGGAAGCAGAAAACCAAGGCGTTCTGCTGTAGTGGGTGTAAAGGTTCAGTTCTATACACAGTGGCTCTGTTCCAAGCGCTAGTAAGCTCACTCGCTGGTGACTGTCTACATAGACAGCGTCGTAAGAAACAGAACCGCAAGTGATTTGAAATGCTGTTCACAGGTAGCAACTTGATTAACAGTCAGTCACGTCTACAAAGAAAGACTAAATAGCTTATTTGAAAAAAGCCTAACGTTAGCATGCAGCTAAGTTAACAATACTTTAATAAACACAAAAATATATTTTTTATGAAAAACTTTTCAGTAGTAAATAAATATATTTGTACTGAAAATCTTAAAATAACCCCACCTAGAAAGAAATTATTTGAATTTTTAGAAATGTCAGTAAGACATGAAACATGTACATAAAGAAAACCTGTAAATATTGACATTTTTGAATGGTAGAGAAATTAACATTAAATTCACGGGCAACAGCGCTGGTGGATATTCCTGCAGTCAGCATGCCAATTGCACGCTCCCTCAAAACTTGCGACATCTGTAGCATTGTGCTGTGTCATAAAACTGCACATTTTAGAGTGGCCTTTTATTGTGGCCAGCCTAAGGCACACCTGTGCAATAATCATGCTGTCTAATCAGCATCTTGATATGCCACACCTGTGAGGTGGATGGATTATCTCGGCAAAGGAGAAGTGCTCACTAACACAGATTTAGACAGATTTGTGACCAATATTTGAGAGTAATAGGCCTTTTGTGTACATAGAAAAAGTCTTAGATCTTTGAGTTCAGCTCATGAAAAATGGGGGAAAAAACTAAAGTATTGCATTTATAATTTTGTTCAGTGTATATATCAACTTCATATAAAACATGAAAACATTATATATACATTATATATATATATACATATATATATATATTATATATACACAATATACTTATAATATACTGTATATACACACACACATACATTATATATATATATACATCACACACTAATAAACACACAACACCAATAATTTACCACAGAGATTGTATGTCTGCAGTTTCACAGTGAGCTGTGACTTTCTGTTGCTCTCTCGCCTCTATTCCTCTGAAAGCACACAAACACTCTGTAATAGCACACCTGATGAAGTTCTCCTCAAGAGATATATATATATATATCGACTCCTGGAGGTCTTTCAACTCTTTCTTCTCAAAATGTCTGAGGTAAATGCAAACTGACAAGTGTTGTGGATGGGTTAAAAGCTGACGGACGCAGATTCCACACTATCCTCTGCAGTTATGTGATGTTATATAAGGCTAATAAGGCAGGCAGGTGCCCTGTTATCAATAAAATATACCACGGCGACTGAGAGAACACTGGACAGACTAAGTGTGTTTGAACACTGTGAAATCCAGATCAAATAAAATAAAAGATGCATTAAGTTCCACTTTACACAAAGGTAACACCTTTCCCACATCAAGAGGACATCGGGAATGTCGATAAAAAATGAATGTAGAGAGGATAACTTCAATATTTCTTCTCTTTAGCTTTAGAAATGCCACTAGGGGGCTGAAGGTGAAGTGTGTGATCTCTTACCTCGCATGGATGATGGCTTGTCGATGGGAAAGTCACCGTCCCATACGATGGAGAAATCCACAGGCAGGTCTCCCATCTCATTCCCTTCATACCAGTACTGTGGGAAAAAACAACAGAAACAACATCTATATCAGAAAAACGTCACAACAAGGGTTTATACTCTACCCTGTGTGCCACAGGGGCAAATAAAACAGACTCCGAATACAACTTTTTTTTTTTTTTGCCGTAAGAAAAACAATAAATGCAAACTCAACAGCACTTCTAGCAAAATATGCCCAATCACCACTGACATCACATCAACGTCTCAAGAGACGATTCCAGAAGATGATGTTATCGTGACACTTTCTCCACCAGCACTGCTCGGAATCAATCCTGATATCTTTTCTGACCCAATGGAAATCCAGATCTATAATTTGCTGCACACTCAACAGCACTCCTGGAAAAAACACGGTCAATCACGACTGACATCATCTGAACATCACACTGACAAAGATGATGACAACACAATTGCTTCGCTCTCTCCACAAGCACTTATGAGGCCATACAAAGAAAAAGAAAGATAACAGAGTTTCGACTTCTTGTTATCCGCTTTTCTCAGCAAACATTATTTTGTGATTTTTTTTTGAAGCCACTAGATAGATATGTATTTACGTACAGTGGGGCAAATAAGTATTTGATACACTGCCGATTTTTCAAGTTTTCCCACTTACAAAGAATGGAGAGATCTGTAATTTTCATCGTAGGTACACCTCAACTATGAGAGACCGAATCAAAAAAAAAATCCAGAAAATAACATTGTATGATTTTTTTAATAATTAATTTCCATTTTCTTGCATGAAATAAGAAAAATAGAACTTAATATTTGGTACAGAAACTTTTGTTTACAATTACAGAGGTCAGACGCTTCCTGTAGTTCTTGACCAGGTTTGCACACACTGCAGCAGGGATTTTGGCCCACTCCTCCATACAGGTGTTCTCCAGATCTTTCAGGTTTTGGGGCTGTCGCTGGGCAACATGAAAACTTGAAAAATCAGCAGTGTATCAAATACTTATTTGCCCCACTGTATGTAGAATGGTTTTACGAATTTTTATTCACTGATATTAGAAAAATGATAGACACAAATACATACATGTTTAATATACAGTGGGTACAGAAAGTATTCAGACCCCCTTACATTTTTCACTCTTTGTTATATTGCAGCCATTTGCTAAAATCATTTAAGTTAATTTTTTTTCCTCATTAATGTACACACAGCACCCCATATTGACAGAAAAACACAGAGTACAAAAGTAATTTTATAGACATAGAAAGCATATTAAATCCAAATAAAGTGTCTACTTTGATGTTTCAATTAACGTTTGTGAAAATAAAATGTCAAAATATGGGTGAAATAATGTTCCATCGTCATTCAGTGTAACCGATATATTTATGTAAAATAAAATAGCATACATATTCTGACCTGTACTTATTAAAAAATATATATATACACACATATAAAAAAAATGATCATACAAAATTCTATTACATTTTAAATGATTAAAAACTCTTGCTGACAAAAGGGTAGTGGTAAAGATTTAAAAGGACAATTAATTCGTTTTTGAGGGCTACACTGTGATCCTAAAATAGAGTCTTTTAATGTCATCTAATGATTCTGGTTATAAATATGCCTGACAAGATTTTTTAAAATACAAACTCTTGTTACTATTAAACTACATTTAACTCAGAAATTTTAAAGTGGTCATATGATGCTGCTAAAAAGAACATTATTTTGTGTATTTGGTGTACTGAAATGTGTTTATGCGGTTTAAGGTTCAAAAAACACATTATTTTCCACGCCAGATTGACGACACCAACAGGAACAAGCGCACTTGACGATGAATGAAATGAAATATGCAGTGTTTTCCGCCAACTGGCAACCCGGGTTGCCGAAATACAATTTGTTAAACTGACATTGGGCAGGTTTCACAAACCAAAACAGAGACCGACATTCCGGCCCGGAACGCACATTTTCAAAGGAGAATGACTGTAGCATTGTTTTTCAGATAAACAAATATGTTAACTTAGCATGTTTCTTAAATATCTGCAAACATATGGTATTTTTATGCTTTAGTAGAGTCAAAAACATACATACAGCACCTTTAACTTAAAGCTGCGTGGAACGCTTTTTGCTTTGTTATATAAAATAAATGAAAAAATAACACACACACACACACACAAACATTTGTCGCTAAAAATAACTAACAGGAAAACTGCTCATTAAGTCCTGATATGGCCTGTCTCCAGCATGCAGCTGCAGCTCGTCAGGTGGAGCAGAAAGCAGGTGACGGCGGTTTTTACTGTCTGGGTTTTAATTAGCAACAACACTGAGAGCACTTAGCCAACGCAACCCTGAGAGAATATCGCTGATCAGGCTCAATGATCGGCGGCTGCTTGCTTAAGAGACTTCAAGACGAGATCAGGAGTCCAATAGAACTCGAGTAAACTTACCAGAGTGAAGAAGCTCTGGGTTCAGCATTACGCACCACCACAATGGCACTTTCACTTTGTTTCCCCTGATAAATGTGGAATCACGCCATTTGGTATATGGTATATTTCAGTGCAAAAACCAACACACTTTTTGCACTGAATGCAAACTAGCTTAATTTACATATGAATGGTTTTCCGAATTATTTATACAGAAATTTGCTTTATTAATGCATCCAAATTAGTTTACTATTAAGGATGAATTCACTAAACAGTTTAGCATGTGGTATTTCAGTGCAAAACCTGTATCTTATTCATTTAGTATGCTAGAGCGGGAAAGTGTTTTAATTTTGTTGGCACCTGATTGCATGATTACAGAGCACTACACTGAAAGAAAAAAAAAAAGGTGAAGAAACAATTTTTACTTCGAAATTGTTAGTACATTTAAAAGAAACCGCAAGCAATACATTGAATTAAACATTAAATTATGAGGTAGAAAAACTGAAATCGTATTTTCTTCTAACATGCACTCCAGTAATTTTGTTTTATTTACAAATCTGAATTTTTTTACAGTACAAAACAACGTAGCCAACATGCAAATAAACAGTGCTATTCGTTCTTACTGCATTCTCCCTCAGCAGTGAAAACTGCACTGCATTTCCATTTATGGCCAAACCAAAATCTATTTTGGAAAAAAGGCATAAGAACACCCTGCCTCGACAAAACCTCATGCCTCGGCTGGTCATTAGGGCTGATTGAAACGTCAGCTGTTACATCAACGTTCATTCAGCCATACAGCCCAGATAAATCACAACAGAGAAAACCAGTGGTGCCACATCACTCCCCAGGCGTCCAAGAGGCCCTGAAGAGTGGAAAATGGCCCTTTGGTCTTTCTACAGCTGTTCTGGGGGGAAAATATCTGTGAGGAACTCAAGCGAGCTCTGCAGTGGAAAAGGTGGTGAAAAGCCGAACTAAACCTCACTCAAACTGTTGATGCCAGGCACCCAGCAGTCATACATCTCTATGAGACACAGCTGCTGGAGTCTTAATTGGGGTCAATTACAGGCGACCCGCATACTGGCATACAGGTCATGACTTAAACATCATTAACTTATCTTCGAATTTGTTGGGCTATTATGCACTTAAGCTATAAAAAAAAAGTCCTGATGTACTAATGCATTTCATAAAATGGTGCAAAAATCACATATCAAAAAATGCATTCCCATAGAGCATGTCAGTTAATTTATGCATTCAACAAATTAACATATTCTTTGTTGCTATAGTTAATTTCATCCAATAGGATGAAACGTCCAGAACGGATGTGTAATTCTTTTGTAAAACAATTCTTACGTAAATTGTCGCACTGAATGGGACTATTTACATAATAACCAATACATGAACAATGCATGAAGGAGGCCTAATGAGACTTTTTATAAAACTTTTTTTAAATGTATTTTCTGAAAATAAAAGCATCTATGAAAACAAAAAAATTACTATTGCATTTAGCCTCTGAATCTAGAATCTGTGGGGAAACTATTTCTATATTAATATATATATAATATAAACTATAACAACGTATCTATATAAAATACATTTTATAAATTAATAAAGAAATACTACTCTTGAAGAGTATTTTAATAGTAATATAAAGAAGCAATAGACAAAAAACACATCATTTTAATATATACATATATATATACATGCATACATACATACATTTTTGCCATTAAAGTGATGTGTTTTCTTGTTTATTGCTTCTCCTCCATTAAAGGTTTGCTTTGAGGAGATTAGCCTGCGTGTGTAAATGGGTGGAAGCCTTTGTTTGCCCATACTATACCGCTTATCTCTGCCAGTAGTGAATTGATTTTCCTCCGGCTTGACTTTCCACTGTATTGCAGCGTGTTATGTGTAGACAGCCTGGCCTGGTTCTGTCAGAGGGCTCACTGAAAATGACTGGCAAACGACAGCAAGGTAATCTTACCTCTAAAACCGTCCTCGATTTATCAGCCGCCCCGAATGTGCAAAACACAACCCAAGACGGCTGCTATCACAGGAATAAAGGCAATTTGTGCCATTTTGATTTAGCTTTGTACACATCCTTGGGGTACATTTCAATCCTGCTTGCATGTTTAATCATTTAGTTAAATATCAATTTAGGTAAATATCATGTGGGGTTTTAAAGAGACCACTCTTAAAAATTGGTGTGCTCAATAATCCACTTATTGGAGCTAAGTTAATACGGTGCTACCGTTTATGGCAGCAGCTATGATGAATAATCAGAGATATTGACTCAGGGACAAAAAAATGCTGCTTCTCAAAAAAAGCAGCCTTCTCCTGAAATTAAGTGATAGCAATTAATTAAAGTGGAACTTGGTGGAACTAAGTATTTAGTCTTTAATAGGATTTTATTGTTTAAAAGATGTTTTCATAGACCTCAACTCTCTGGATACGCTCAGCTCCAGTTGACCTGTCAATGACGTCTCCTTCGAGTGACAGAATGAAAATCAATAAAACTTAATGATGGAGGACCTGTACATTTAATTAAGTTACAAACTGAACCAGACTCAGCACAAAAAAGACACAACGGCATCAATGGTACGAGCAGAATGAGCCCACTGTGTGCGCAGCATTAC